CCGGGTCGGCCCTCCACCGGCACCAAGGAGACCGGTTTGTTCACATGAGCCGTGGTCTTCTGGGAAGCCGCCACGAAACCCTTCAGCCTCTTCATGGGTGGTGTCTGTGCCTCCTCCGGTGGAGTAGCCCGCTCCGTGACGTCCGCATCTTCCATGTCCTTGTCCTCATCCTCGGCGGGGCCAGGGGCACCCAAGCCGGAAGTCGGTGTGGCAAACGCCACACGGAGACGCTCCAGTGCACTGGAGAGGTCCTTCATCACGTCGGTAGCCGAAGCCGACGGGGGGGCCTCGGGCTCGTCCAAAACCAGGCCGGCCGCCACTGCCGCCTCGCGTGTGCGAATTTCCTGGGCCTCCTGGCTGGCCATTTCCACCTCCTCCGCGGTGAGCGTCTGGTCCTCAATCAGCTCGAAGGAGGTTGCCGAGGTTGCCGAGGAAGCCATTGCTTGATCGGGGTTAGTTTGAGGGTGTTTAAACTCAAATCTTTTTTCACACAAATTGGGTTCAAAGAACCCAGGGCAAAGCTTGAGCCAAAATGGCATGCGCCATTATGGTCAAGCATTTCAAACACAGTTCATGTTTCCACATGCGTTTCAACATTAACAAAACACGACCAACATGGGCAACGAGGAGGCGCTGGAGTTGATCGTGCTTCCATAAACTTCCATATATTTATTAACCATCAAACCAACTCACCGAGCCCAGGAAAAACTGCCTGCCCACCGCTGGCCTGCCTGCCTGAGACTGACTGACTGACTGACTGACTGACTGACTGACTGACTGACTGACTGACTGACTGACTGACTGACTGACTGACTGACTGCTTGCCTGCCTGCCTGACTGACTGACTGACTGACTGACTGGCGATCCGACCGACCGACCGACCGACTGCTTGACTGACCTGAAGTCTGAGCATTCAGCCAATCAACTTCTCACTTGCTTGACTGGTTAAGCCTCGAGCTCTGCCTTCACGCGTAAATCCGGTGTCGGGTGAGCCGTACAGGCAGCAACTGCCTGACCCAACAGCACCAATTGCAGGTGTCACATGTGTATGCAAACTTATAGAAATTGGCTCCCTAAAAACTGAGACAGACCCTGCAGACCCCTACTTGGTTATTTGGCCGTGCACCTCAAAGGTCAAATGGGCGCGCCTGACGCAGCAGCCAGCTGACAAACATGGCAGCGGCCTCAAGTTGTTAGAGACACCTGTTGAGTGCGACTCCTCCATAAACAGACGAGCCTGACTTTGACGCATGCTTAGAGCCCCTGTGCAACACCACCTCGACTGCCTTTAATCTCTGCATGAACCAAGTCCGCAAACTGGCGCGGCTTTGTTCGTGAAAGTGCCGAGCCGCCGGCGCCACAATTTCGCTGGAAAAAGAAGCCCGCCACGATCCCTCTGTTTGTTTTTTGCCAAACGGACAAAAATGGCCCGGCCCGCAATCTGTTCTAATTCTAGGGGTACCCTCCCCATTCTTTTCAGGGATCCTTCTTTCCAAAAACCCACAAGAAACCCAAGGAAAACGGCCGGTGTTGAGCAGAACCATGGTTGAAAAGAATGGGGAATCAAACCCGGGTTGCCCTCAAATCCCTCGCTGAAAGTCAAACTTTTAGAGGGTTAAACGGAAACTCCCACTAAACACTAAAAAGCGAGATGGCTGGGAGCCACCAAGTCTTCGAATTCATGTGTTCAAGGCCAGGGTTCTGGCGCCATAGAAGCAGGTCGAGCGCAGAAGCGTGGGTACCTTCAGCGAAGTGATTCAACTTCGGACCTAATTTCTTTGGAGACCAAAGCAAAAACAAATCCCATGAGCTGCTGTTATGCGGCCGCAAAACTTGCCAAGGCTTTTGGGAACCAAGGGTAGAATGGACAAATGGCTCTGGCCCATGGCTTTCATGAGCCTTCAGCCTGAACCCAAGGCCCCCACAAGGCCAAGCACCTGCCCGGCCGGAAACCATCAAGGTTGCTGTAAGATCGCTTCTTTTTGTGTACTTTCAAAACAATCGACGCCAAGCCCCCAAACACATGGAATGGCCACAAAGCTGGGTCTGTGAATGCAGGTTCAATCTAGTTTGAAGAAGGGTCAAGGGATTGTTCCTAGAAACCTGAAGCAATCCCATGCCCAACGGATGGCAAAGCAAAGCACGCATCCCGATCCATGGTCCGATGGCTCGAGTTCGGTGAACATGGCAACGCAGCCTTGCCCTCTACGTAGAAAACCACGTAGAGACTGAAGAATGCTCGGCCTGGTTGGCTCAACCCGAAGCCCATTGCGCAGAATCCACAGCGTCCACATGAACTAGCGGGAAGCTGGGAGAGTTCCATTCTAGCTTCAACTCTAGACACCAGAAAAAGAAAGGCTACCACTTGGATGATACATCACCAATGGCCAGAAACTTTTAGCTCCTCCCAGGCTTTCAATAGCGGCAGCCAAAGCGCTGAGGTGTCGCCTTGTGCCTTCTGCCTGGGGCCTGGGCTGAGGCATGCGAGGATGAAGGGCGCCCAGGGCCAACTCAAGGACCTGCGGCAAAAAACGTCGGATATGACCGGACGACCGGACAGAAACTCACTCGATGTGAAGAGGTTTTAACATTAAAACAAAAAACTTGTTTTGCTCGACTAAGATGGTCATTGTGATAGAACTAAACAAGCCAGAGTCTTCAAGACAACCTTCAAACAAATTCGTGCTGAATCGCTGGACTCCGCAACACGAGCTAAACAGATGCGTGCAGTTGAGCTCTGGACCGCAGACTCGATGCGGACCCCATGCCAACACCTCAGAAAAACAAATGAGAAAAAAAAAGAGGAATGTCTCGTCTCTCTCCAAAGGAACAGAGAATCGGGCCTCTCCTTCCATCGACGAGCTTCGCAAGCTTCAGGCTTGAGCTGGGAAAATGGCTTCGGAGGCAAAGCGGGGCTTTGTGAATCCCTTCAAGCGTTTTGCCAATCCAGGTCGTGTTCATTTCACCATAGGCTACGTCAGCAAACCTGCAAATGATTTGCTGCAAATGCTTGGTCCTTTGGCTTTAACTTGTGACCATCCAAAAAAGCTATCAAAAGTCAACTGGTTGCACAGGAGTCACAAAAATCCAGGCACGGGGAAGGGAAAAAGAAGCTTGCCCGAAGCCAACAGGTTTTCCCTTCCAAGCTTCCACTTTAGCTTAACAGAAGTGGAAAAAGGCCCACCTCAGCAGCAGCTCGTCCTCCGCGGCGTGAGGGTCAACCAAATTGGGACCCCGGTGCTTGACTGACTTTCCCGTTTAAAGGGAGCGGCAGGTCCAAAACTTGGAATCCCCCTCTTTGAACAACCAAACCCTGGCTTCGAACCCAAACGGATTCAGCGCACAGCGCAATTCTGCGAAAAGCGTCCACGCCCGTCCTTGAAGTGCTTGTTGCAGCCCCTTCTGTTCTGGTTCACTCGGTTCTCCTCTCAGACCCATTCTCCCCGCCATCTTCATGGTGAAGCATCAGCTGTGCCAAGCTTACACTCGAAAAATGTGTCCATTTGCCCCTGCGAATCCGTGTTCTCCAAGCCACGTGGGTGTCTCTCAAATGTGGACCCCATGTTCGGGGATTCGGGATGCTCAAGGCACACTGCAGTTGACCAAAGCTTTGCTGGGGCCCTTAATTCTGGGGCACACCCTGGTGGCTTGAGCACTGATCATGATCCACGGGCCAAGGGTGCTGTGACTCGACCTGCACCGCTTTTTGGCCGCAAGTCTCGCCGGTGGCTGCCAGCGCACGTCATTCACACCTGGTGTCACAAGCCAAGGGCAATAAGGCGACGGATGCGTTTTCAATTTCAGACCATTCAGATTGTCCACGCTGTTCTTGTAGCATCCATGCACTGATTTTCCTCTACTGCTGTCACTGCACATTCATCGACCGAGCTGCCCGGCGCACACCCCATTGTCTGTGAAGCTCTTGTTGTCCCTGCAGCAGATGAAAGTCGAGCGCCACTGCCCTCAGCAGTGTCCTTGCCGGGAGCTCGGGCAATGCTTCTGAAAATCTGACAAAGAGAGTGAGAGCTTGTGATACGAGTCATTTATTTAGACACATGGGTGAAAAGTGCTGACATATGCTCCAAGTTGTCCTGTTATTCCAATCCTGCGCTCTCAGCTCTGGTTCATTTCATGCCCAAATCTGAAGCCAACTTGTATTTCTTTGCTGGGAGATGGTCGTGGCTTCAGAAACACCCGGGCAACAGGAAAATCGCCAAGCTTACCACACCGCTCGGGGCATGGCCCTCGTGCAGTGCCAATGCTGCAAGCCACGCGTGTCACCTGCCAGCTGTGATGACCCAGCTGGCGACCGAGCGACCAATTTGTCGGATGGTCATGAGTTGTCTCTCGAGATTTCTGATTCTCATGCAGAATGGTCTTCTCACAACGGACATGTCTGACGATGTGGGTGTGGTTCCTGCTTGCATGGTTGTCCCGATGTACTGTAATATCCGACAAGCTCGCCGAGCATTCAATACATTCTATGGCACTCTGTCACAAATTTCATGTTCAGTGCCTGGGGCCCCAAGTTGCAATACTGCGACTAACCATGGCTTCCGGCAGCAGGATCGAACACCAGGGCGAGGACCAACTGCGGGGTTTCAAACAAGGCCAGGAAAAATGATGGCTTTCTCAGGCAAGATCAAAGACTTGAGTCTTGGGTGAGAGGACATCTAAGGGCATCGCCTAAAACTTCCTTGCGTGAGACGAGCAAAGTCCTTCTAAAAAAGTCGACTGCCTTGAACCATGCATGAAATAATGTATCAAAAGAAACATGGAACAGCGGAAGTCGGCGTCATGCCACATGGCCGCCTTTCCCCCCGCAAAGCCGAAAGTCTTGCCCAACGCTTTCGCCTGCGAGGCCAAGGTACCCACCTCACATTAGCGCCAGCGGGGGGCTTGCAACGACTTGCGGGGGCTTGCAACAGCACCATCTGCAAAGGTTTCAACCGGTTTCAATCTTGTGTAGTGAGCACCATGAGCTTTGCTCACTCAATCGGTGCTATTCAAAAGGCATTCGAGCGGGTCTCGTTTTTGTTACCCGGCATTCGGCTTCCCGGCCACCACCCGTGCACGACCCAGCATCTCAATGTCGAACATGACCTGCGCATGGGGCACAACAAATTCCGAGAGCCTTGATATGTCCTTCCTTCGGGCCCTGGGCTCGAACGAACGACTTACGAGCGCTGGGTTGGAAACCATTCTTACATGTCAGCTCACTTCGAAGATATGCGGGAAGTAGCCCTGGTGCTGCTATTGAATGTGAGCAGAATCACAGCACCTTACCACAGGGGCCCCATGTCCAAGCCGCCAACTGGTCCTGAACTTCGCTTCAATCGCTCGAAACGCGAGACACTTCGGCACGAGCCTCTGCTGTCATTTGCAGCGCTGTGCCATCCCCTGGCATGAAGTTGGCAACCTGCGGCATGCCAAGAAGCGCCCGTTCAGCGACCCCAGCTCAAAGGCGTGAATTGCTGAGGCCCAAGGTCATCTTGCCAAATTTACAGGATCAAGGGCAAATGCTCAATAGCAAAGTTGGCCCAACATGGTTCACTACGTCCGTTCTTGGTGCCGCAACTAGTCACCGATCCAGAAGCCAAAGTCAGGGCATATTGGCAACAAATCAATGATTGGCTCAAATGCGATGTTGAGCTCATGATAAATGTGTTCAAAGGTTAAACTGCAGCTGAAGGAAATCAGTATGGCATCCCAAAACCAGAGCCAAATTGCACTTGCGCAGATCACGGGTTCGTGGTGTTGAGAGGCTAGCCAGTCTGGAAGCCCAGCCAAAACAGGATGGGAAATCCTTCTCTTGCGGCCAGGCACACCTTATGATGCTTCCCTCAATATCATGGTCGTTTCAATTCCCCCTTAAGGGAGCCAGAACCATCCCAACCAACCCTCACACACAAAGCTGTGTTCACCATGAATCATGGCACATACGTAGAGCAAGAAGCCCATCCCTTCGCATTGCTCCGCCTCCACCCCAATGTCACTGCGCCGCTGGGTCTCGGAGTCCTCCAAACCGATGACCTGAAATACCCACGGGTCTCTGTCACGGGCTACAAAGGCGGGTGTTTAGACCATAGGTGTCCTTTTATGGCAAATAGATGGCCCTGGTAGATGATTAAACCACCAGGTAAACCAGTGGACCAGGACCATTTATTTTTCTACCAAAACAACCAAAAAGAACACCTATGGTTCAGACTGTGTGGTATGGCTCACCATGAATTGTTGCAATATGTCAAAGAATGAGCACAAAAGACGAGACCTCTCCGCTCTGTGTTGATTGAGTCATGTCTTTTGTGCCTTCCATCTGCGATGCTGGCGCCTCTAGCATGTACTGGCTGACAGTCACGGAATGTGGATCTTCTGGGGGCCACTGGCACAAAAGGAGTCTACAAAGGGACCCAAACACAGGTGAATGATCAACAGCACGGTATCTTTTTGAACGCTGGCGCCCTACTAACCTAGGTTCTAAAAGCAGCTGGGGGAGAACTCGCGGCCTCCAGGCGCTCGGAGTGAAGCTTCTCAGCCCTGACCTGCAAAGGTTTCAGACTTCACGTGCAGTCCGGAGGGTGCGCTCCTGAGTTGGTATCCGTTTCGGGATTCGTGTAAATGGAGACCTAAAAGCAAACCCGTGTTGGGGGTTCCTCTATTTTGAGGCGAGCTCAGGAGATAACACACCGTGCGGACACCAAGGGTGTTGGAATGCAGGACACAAACTGTGCAGAAACCCGCAGCTTCCTTTCTCTTTCTTTAGAATATGGTTGGACGATCACCTTCTAAGCATGGATAATTCCAAGCAGCGGTTGGTGAGTTATTTCCCTTCCAAGTGCAAACACCCGGTTGGTCAACTGCAAATGGAGAAGCTATGGGCCTCTATGTCCCCCCCCCAAAAAAAAAGCCCCCCCAAAAAAAAACTCTGAGCATGCTGCTTCATCCAGCACCTCCTTGGAATCTGAGGCCACAAATAGCCTCGAAATGCAACTGCCCCCATGACCGCCACAAACTACGTCAAACGATGTTTCGCACTTCCGGGTTGATCTTTGACCAGCCAAGTTGAACCTCTTGCTATTCAAACGGCCACTTCCTTTCAAAAAAGGCCCAGAGCTTGGACGCCCAAAGCAAACCGAAGAAAAAGAACACCCACCGCCCGGAGCTTCTGAAAAAAGAAAGAAAAAAAACAGGCGCGCGCGTTCGCGCGCGTTCGCGCGCGCGTTTTGGGCCGGTCGCTGACACTTGGCTTCGCAGAGGCCCAGCTGCTCCGCCGCCCCAAGCGCCTGGCGCGGGCGGAAGATCGGACGCGGAGACGCGGAGAAGCGGACCGCCTCGGCCACGTAGTCTGTGGCGGGGTGGTACTTGTTGAAGGGGTTGGTGACCTCCAACGCAACGCAGTGCAAGTCAATTGGGGGCAGGACAAAAACCAAAAAGCATCGCCTTCATGAATCTTAGGTTTCTCATCGAATGCGGGCCAAAAATGCCCTAGAAAGAACATGTAAAAACAAAATCCACAGAAATCAGGACCACTTGTGATCACCTTGTCGCCACGGCGGATGTGAATGGCCAGCAAGGTCGCTTCAGCCTCGGCGAACGTGCTGCGCACCACGTGTCTGTGGCGCTGAGTTCCGTGCCCGAAATCCACTGCCACGCCTCAGGCAGGCAGCATTGCAGCATCGCTTCTGAGACATAGCCACGACCCCAACATCTGTTGTTCCCCAAGAAAAGAGGAAACCCCTGTTGTGGAAACCTGGGATTATCCCTTTGAATGCAAAGGACGATATTCTTTCTTTGGCCTGGCCGTTCATCAGCTCCCCAAATTCCAGAATGTACCAAAAAATGCGTCATTGCAAGCCAATCAAGGATGGCTTTCTACCTTATTTCTCTTTATCAGGCTTCTGTCATCACGATATCATGTTTCTTTTAATCTTCAGCATAGAACCAAGCAAGCTGGTAACCTGATATTAATCCAAGAGAAGTAGGCAAAAGAAGGTTAAAGAAAGGGAATGATGATTCACACGATTTCCTGCTAACTTATTTGCTCCATTTAATTTGATCGTGTATTGACATTGATGGTGACACAGAGTTGGCGATAGAAATGGAGATAGACAATAATGCCAATCAATAGTGTCAACAGCTCCAAGCTTCCCGCGCGAACTGCTGGAATAAGCCCCACATCCAGCGGCTGGGCTGCCACAGTGCTGCCTGGAAGCGCAGCTCAACCCAGAGCCACTCCCAGTTGGTCCCTCGGCCTCGTTCCTTTAAAAGGTTCCCAGTGAATTCGTGGGAGGGTATGTCCAAGGGAAACCCCACAAACCAAACTGACGACCCTCTTCCAACCCCCGCGACCCGTCCACGTGCCCCCAACACCGGACCCCCTCCGCCCTCCACCTGCAGCTTCCCAGCGGAGACCAGCTGCCGCCTCTCCGGCCGCGCAAAGAGCGGCACCTCCTGAGGGCGGTAAGGGAATACGAGAAAAATATGTCCAACCCAGGATGAACATGCACGGATTCATAGGGTGGGTATCTAAAGGATCTTGTACTCTCAGCCTGGATCAAAATTACGGGGAGAACTGTAGACCAAGGTGTTTCAACCCAGCTGGGTTGAGGTGTCGTTCTTTTTACCCAGTGACCAAACGACTGGTCTCGGTCTGAGCCACTCACATCGTTCCGCTAGAGGCTGGGAGGGGAGGGGGGGGCTTCCTCGAAGAGGCAGCTCCACCCGCCGCGACGGAAGCGAGCCTTGGCCATGAAACCAAACCTCCCCCCTTCCGCGGTAGGGGGCAAGCCAACAGGAGCTCCACCCACTTTGGGGCCGGAGACAAAGCCGAAGGAGAAGAAACAAGGCTCGCCTCGCCCAAGAGCTGGAGACCTCAAAACGGCTGATCTGTGGCTTGTGGCTTCACAACTCACAATTTTCAAAGACGCGATGACTCGTGCGAAGCAAAAAAAAATGGGCGCCGGGCAGTGGGAGTTGTTGGTGTATCTGCCAAGATGGCCCACAAGCTCCGCCCTCCTCCCGGAGCGCAGAATTTTCGCCTGGCCGCACTGGTTCGAGTGTAGCTGGAGTGGGTCCCTTCTGGGGTGGACAAGGGAAATTCACCGAAAAAAATAGTTTTTTAGGGTGTCCCCTGCTACAAGTATCAGGCATGGCCGTGTCTCGTCAGTCTCGTGCTCGGTGCGGGAACGTCTACAACCTCCCCAATCCCTTTGTCATGAAGGAATGTCTTGCGCTTCAAAAAAAACACCCGTGTTCTGCGTGCCGGCGCGGAGACTAGTAACTAGTTCAGCAATGGCCCATGGCAAGAATGAGCACGTCATTGGCGGGTGTGGGCTGCTGTTGGCTTTTCAATCATTCGTCTCTGAGGCCTCTCCCGGCAAGACCCTGATGTGGCTACGTCCGTCTACTTTCGGCGATTCGAAATCCACTGCTATCCAACAAGAACCACTGCTGCGGAGTTCAAATGCTAAACATGCTTCTCGTTGCTGTCCTGCCAGTCCACGTGTGGCATCCGAGGCCCCGGCCGCCCTGGCCACGGCAATTTGCAGCTTGGAGCCGAAGCCACCGCCAAAGCCCAGCTGAACCTCAAGCCGAGTCGCGAAGGGGATCTCAGCGCCAAGAGTCTGCCAGTCGCGACACACAAGAAATCCCCAAACCCCAGCCCAGGCGCCTGCTGAGTTGGAGCCGGGCTCGGCAACAAGTACCTCCAGCTGCAAACTCAGAGCTTAGCTGACTGGCCCGCATGGCGCACTTTACACGCCAGCGCCTGCGCAAGCCGCGGACGGGAGCCTGCAGCGCCTTGGTCCAACATGCACGAGCATGTGGCTCTTGGTTTGGCCAACTGAACCATGGGGTGAATAGTTTTCCACTCCAACAAGGGCAAGTTGTCCTTTTGGTTTCCCTTTAAAAGCTGGGCTGTCCTCAGATCCCGCTGAAAGTTTAACTTGTAGTGGGTTAAATGGACATCCACACCAAACACTAACAAGCCAAAGGGCGAAGGAAATGGCTGGGAGCCGCCAAGAAAGCAGGTCGCCCTTTCACGTCGGGAAAAGAGGTGAACCGAGTGGAGGTCTGAGGTGCTGGCACTCCTCTCCGGCACATCTGGCGGGGAGCAATAGCAACCTGGCACTGCATCCCGACACGCGGATTTCAACTCGTGCACCCCGATTGGGATATCAGATGGCTTTCCTTCCTCCAACTCGAGAAAATCTGCAAAGCACAGACAACTTTGTGGATGTGCACTCGCGCACACGCAGAAACGTACACACACTTTATAGAATTGCGGGTCTGCAAAATGTGGCACCCCAAATACTGATTGGTGTCCTTTCGATCCCACCATCCGGAAACGGGTCCCCTGGTCCCCTGATTTGAGACACCCAAAATGGGTGTCTGGTTTGGTCCTTGGTTCGCTTTAACGGCAAACCAAACGGACACCAAGTTTTGACGGGAGTGTATTTCTGGGTGAAAAGCAGACTTTTGTCTCTTTGTTGGAACCCATTTTGGGGGAACCCATTTTGGGGGAACCCATTTTGGGGGGAACCCATTTTCAAAAGAAAACAACATTTGAGACAGACTCACATCCAGGGGTTGTCTGCACCTCGGCGCGCAGCAACTCGACGGACGCCCCTGGCAATTGCCAGAAGCTGGTCCTGGCATGGGGGGAAGGTTGTCCAACGAATTGGCCATGGGTCAAAAGCCCGGTTCAATCCCTACTAAAATAGACTAAAATGGGTGGTGCACCCACCCCAAGATGGTACCTTTGGTTTTGACCCACAGCCAATTCTGGGATTCTCCACCTCATTCCCCCCCAGGAAAAACAGAAGCGGCTTCCTTCAATCCAGCTTGGCTTCGTGGACATAGCAGGCCTTGAAAAGATCTTCACGTGGCAAGGAGTCGGTTAAAAGAAAAAAAGAAAAAGCAATGGGACATTGACCATTGTCGTTGAGGACAAATTCTCAGCAGTTTGACATAGATGAACCTGAAACAATCGGAGCTCCTGCGTCCAAGGGATGCCCAGGGCCTGGTCTCCAAAAACATCGCCAAATGGGAACCCGGGGCCTAGTTTGGACTGCCCAGCTTTCTCCGGAGCATGGGGCATCTCGGCCCAACTCAACTTGCGGGCCTGCTGCCAGTGCTCCAAGTACATCCGGCCAGGTCCTCAATTGAATACCAAACAACCCCACCCCTTCGAAGTCGGCTGAGCCGGCTGTGCGCAAAGCACGCCAGGCTTTGGGCGCGCACGGTCCAGGCGGAACCGCTCCCAAGTTCCAAGCCGATGAATGCCCACTAGCTTGTGACCTGGCGGGCTTTCCAGTTGAGGGTCTGTAGGCAGGATCGGCATCCAACACAGTGCTCATCGTGCTGGTGCGATAAGTGGGGATTGTGGGAATGAACTTAGGGGTCCCTTTTAAGGAAATCACCAGGGATGGCTTATAAGGGTCATTCCCTCATTCCCTGCAGTCAAACAGCTCGGCATGGCTAAACTTCCCGGCTTCCAGCACCTCAGCAAGATTCGGCCATTTTGTGTTTTCTTGAATTCCAACAACCACGCCATAGGGTTTGACTGTGAATCCAGTGGGATCCCAGGCTTTTAAAGACCCCTGTTTGATTGATCCAAAATGGTAACACCTTCCCATTTGGAGGAAACGCCCTTCTTAATCCGCAAGGGAATATAATACACTCCCCCGCAGAATACCAAGGAACTCCTAAAACCAACATGTTTGGAGGCATCTCCTTTTGCAGGACCTCTTGTTTCAATCCCATGTGAGCACTCTCAAAACCCATGATCTTTGGAACTGCCAACTTGGTTATACAGGCTGACATAGCCTTTTCTGCAAAGCCTGTGAAAACTTTGGCAGTAGAACTTGGAACACATTTACACGACATCAGAGGGTTGGAACACATTTACATGACCCAATCAGAGTTTTCGGGCATTGATTTGCAGATGGGGCTGAAACCAACGCGCGCGAAACCGCGCAACCCCGCGGCTGCCTGGAGCTGGCCACGGCCAGGCCCATCCGCACTGGCTGCCACCACCTCTCCCCAGGGCAGTGGTGAGCCTCTGACATGCCTATGCCGGCCACTGCCTCCGTCTCCGAAATGTCGTAGCTCGTGCGGAAGCCGTTGGAAAAGACCAGGTCCTGCAAACTCAAACGCAAAATCAACGGTGGCTTGAGGGGTCTTTGCGGCTGACTGCCCGCTTTTGCAAAATGTCGGGTTGTGCTCACGAAATGGCACTATTCAATTGACGGATGCGGCTCGAGTTGACAACAAACACCCCCTCACAGCCACGTGTCAGCGCACGGTCCCACACGCCAGCCACGTTCCCATCGGAACCGCACCAGTGACCGGCTCCACGCATGGCATGCACCTAGCACGAGCTGAGCTGGGCCAGAGAGGCAGAGAAATGCCGCCATCCGTTTCTCCCGCCCTTCGGGTCATCCATCTGGGAAATGGCGGTGGCTCAAAAATCGGGTAGCCCCAAAATGGGTTGCCCTGGTGACTGGAAGCAAAGACTTAAAACCTGCGGTCCAATTCCGGGTGAAAACTTTGACCCATACCCAAATGTCCAAAGGGTCAATGTCGCCATTGGGGAGAAGCTAGTGAGAAAGCTCCACCTACTGTCGTCACGATGCAGGCTCCGCAGTTCACCTCTTTCAAGAGTCCCATCAGCTCCCTGAGGCCCAAAATTCTTCTTCAAGGACGTGCTGAGCCCTGAAAACGGAGGGTCCACCAATGCTCTCTGACAGCTGCTCTTCATTCCGATGCCTGGGCCACCATGCTGGAGAAGCGCATTGCATAGCTCACCACGTCACCGGCATACTGTTCTGCGAGGCGGAAGGATGGCTTTGCCTGCATCGAGAATGAGTCAACCCCTTCCAAATGGCGGTATTCAACACAAGATCCGCACAGAACATTCCCGCTTCGTTCCTCCAAGCAAACATGGAGAATCGTTCTAGGCCCGCTGATTTTGGCAAGCCCCACATGAAATCAAAATTTCTCCCGAGTGCGCCACACCTGCGCTCGCGCGAAGAGTGTGAGAGACTCCTCGCACTCTAATCTTCGGCCGGGAGGAAGGGGGGAGGGCAAGGCTCCCAATGAACATCCTGGAAAAGAGGCAAAACTTTGTGACACATAGGGACTCAGATTCGACCAGTCTTTACGTGACTGGCATCCTCAAGCACTCTTTGCCCGGCCCAACGGCACCATGCAAACAGAACAGGTTGACTCATCCTCAAAGAGTGATCCAGCGCCCAGCAGCGGAGCTTTGGCCATTGCCGCCGCAACCTGGTGAGAAAGCAACTCAACATTTCCTGCAGAAGCACGCGACAAATCCATCCAAGCTTTTTCCAGCAGGGGACATACATTCAAAACCAAACATTGGTGTTTCGAGGGCGATGTCCTGAAATTGGAGTGGGTGTCTGCCTCTATCAAGGCCGAAGGCATTCAGGGTGTGCATGTTGGCAAAAACCGATTGCAATGCACCTGTTTTTGTTGGCAAAAACGGATTGCAATGTACCTGTATTGTTTATTTGCCGCGTGTTCTAGCTTGCATTTACCTTGGGCCACTAGGGTGGGTCGCCTCATTGACCCAAGGCTTCCACCAGTGCCTCCTCCAGCAGCTCAGAAACTTCTGGAACCGGTCTCCTCAGCGCCCCAGCTTCGCGAGTGACAAGTCGATGCAAGTCTCTCCCCAAGCCTTGCATTCAACGGTCCCAGGGAAAAACATTCATCAGTTGAATCGCTTAGGGCGTTTTAGTACTCCCTGCCTCACTCAGTAGTCCTTAGACGCAACCCTACCCAATGGTTGACTGAGATTCCCGCAGCCAGAGGGCCGCCAAAGCCCGGCGGTGCCCAAAGGCGTCGCTTCCGAAAATGGCCACCAGGTCTTCTTGGAAGCGCCATCCTCCGTTCAAAGTTTGGCGCGCGAAGTGGAAATCCAAACGTTTTAAACACAAAACAGCTAAGATCCCTAAGGGGATGGGACACGAGTTTTCTCGCTGGTGGCGAACTGACGCTGGCCAAACCCAGTCCTGGCAGTGGTCTCGCTAGCACGGCATCTACGGCAAGATAGAAGAGGTTCCAGCGAGGCAACTCCTCGCGAAGCGCAGAAGCGCAGAACGCAAAGCATTCCCCGCTGCGAGAAGGGCTTGCTTGTGTGACACAGACCTGTGTGAATCAATGATGACGATGAGGATGCGAATTGAAGGAAACAATTGTTGGGACCCCTAATCTGACACATCCTGACCTCAGATGGCTCCCTCCTTCAACACGCGGCCCAGCAGGTCCATGCGAGAACCCCTTTGCAGCAGCGCGCTGGGCGCGGTCTGGCGATGATGTGAACATGAACCTTTCCCTGGTTCTCCAGGATTTTGGTGGGGAAATGCAGTGAGTCCCTCAAGGGCCTTCCCAAGATCACAGACCACTGGATATGTTGAGCAAACCTCTCATTGGCGTGGATGGAATCAGGGGAACGAACACGTGTAGCTGAGATCCCTGGTATCTAAACCAACCGGCGTTGGCCTTATCAAGGGTCAACCGGGCTCTGAAGTGGCTGCCACTGGTCGACCACCAATGTAAACAGGCTCAAACCACCAGTGTTGAAATGCATGCTTTGTTTGTAAGGTTTCCGTTTGAAGTTGGCTGGGGTCTGCTTGTTTCCATCAAACTGACAACAACCTTGCCTATGTGCCTTGCCTTTGAGGCACAGTTTTGCAAACTAGCTCACTGGGATTCTCTTCAGCAGCAGTTCCAATAAACCAATGAAATCAGCTCCTCATCTTGCGTGATTTCAAACTGGCATTTGTATGTTGTAAACTGTCTTCCCGCTTGGAGGAAGCCCTGTGGGGCATCTCTCACCAGAAGTCACCCCGAGGCGATTGCCTAGGGTTGGCACCAATGATCGCCAAGCGCTTACGTCGACTGCCAGCAGCGGCCATTAATTACGTCAGCCCTCACCTGGCTGGTAGGGGGAAAGGTGCAAAGCTGAACTGTGACTAGAAACACTCTACCCAAGACCCCAAGTGGCCGCACACTGCAAGGAACTGGACATGCCTCGCAAAGAGCCGCAAAAGCTGCATGATGCGTGCCTCGGATACGCGCGCGACCCAGCGCCCGCCGGCTCTTTCACGGGAGGTGAAGCTGGCCCAGTTTCCGCGGCCAAAAACAGCAAAATGTAGGGCCAAGCCACAAACAGGACATTCTGACATCACATTGTGGCTCACAGAGAGGGTTGGTGGCGTGGGCTCAGGAATTGAGCTGGCTGTTTTCTATACCTGAAAGCCCTGTTGGAGCCTGCTGCATGCCCCGATACCAATGCCCTTCAACAAGAGGCTAAACCCGTCCCAGTGGATCTAGTTGCCAATGAAAAGCTATCCCAGGGACGGTTTGTCAATCATGGTGCACAGGCCCCTTTGGGAAGACTACTTTCCTTTCGGGGAAGGGCCTGTGCGCTTCCATGTTTTGTTGGCGTGCGCCACATTTGCTTGGCCAAAAAAAGCCCTGCCACAATCCTGCAGCTCTAGTGACTGCATGTGCAAGGGAATCCGTATTGCCGCAAAGAACTCAAGGTCGAAATTTCTGCAAACATCCTTGGTACATCGCAGGGCTTTGCATCTTGCAATCCGTGTGCCTTGCTCTTGACTCCAGCTTAATCAACCCCTGTTTATTAATCTGGGGGGTGTTCCCCTCCAAAAATGGTCTGATTCCCCTCTGAACCCTTTACTGCTCCAGGGCTCCAGGGTGACTTTTTTGGGTGTGGGCGCCTCTCCAAAAGTGGGTTCCAAAAAAACACACACACACACACACACACACACACACACACACACACACACACAAACACACACACACACACACACACACACACACCCATCTCTCAAAATTACGCAGGGATTCACACAGGAGCCACCCCCATCACTGGCCCAACAGCCAGCCCCCGCCTCACGCCCCGCCTCACCCCCCGCCTCACGCCCCACACGACGCTCCGATGCGCGGCCGGCGGCGCGAGCCGAGCGGCTCAGCGCCAGGAAGGGCAGCGCCAGCCGCGAGGCGCGGCAGCGCCAGGACGCGAAGAGCGGCAGCTCCCTGGGCGACGGCACCAGCGTCACCTCCGTCGTTTGGTCGTGTCACCCCGCTGTCGCCCACGGAGAAGACGGGGGAGGAAAAAGAAACGAGAAAACAAGAACGGGAGCGAGCTTCCCGGAAAAGACGGGGGAGAAAAGAAGAAAAGAAACGGGAGGTTGCCATTTTCTTGATCTGGGCTACTGGAGGTTCCTCTTTTCAAAGAATTGAACTGACAGAGAATCGTTCCGTTGCCGATGATTAGGCTTCGTTGAACAGGTGACGCCCATGTCCCTGTGAAACACGACATGTCCTTTGGTGGTGGCTCACCTATTCGGGTGCACAATGGTACTAGTTGGCCCGTCAATCGCAAAAAACCTGATGAGGCAAGGGCGGACAACTGAGTGTCTGGGGCTTCTGTTGAGTTCCGTGTATAGCATCTGCATACGGGGGTTGATCAAGGTCCTTTACATGGGATGACCAGGGACACCACAAAAGAAGATGACTGTCACAACTAAATGGGAAAAGCTACCTATGGTCATCTTGGGGCCAGGAAGATTGACCATGCCAACGCACATATCATCTCGATAGCTCCTCAAAACTCCAGCTAGTGTGATTGCTGGCAGCAAATAGACCCGCCATAGACCGGCTGGAAACATTTACGACGCTAGATTTAACGGCATCGGCAAACTGGCTGTAATCAATCAACGACAAAGCAATGGTATCATGGCAATGCTGGATCTATGGCGGATGCGTGGTGGATACAAGGCAGATAGCGCAACCAAAGATCCACCGATGTCAGGGGCCATTGCTGGTCCCCACACCCCCCCCCCAATTAAAAAAAACAAAACAAAAAAAACACGAGGGGTGGTCGATTTCCCTTGGAGCATAAACTGCAAATCAGGAATCCCCAAGCAAGGACCCTTCATCAAGGGTGAGCTCGTTTTAAGCACACCCAGATAGTTGGTGAGCTCATTAACTAACTTTACATAGGAGTGTGTATTTGTTTGTGAAAGTAATCTTTTTTTTGTTGGTTGCCTTGCGGGGAACCAAAAGGATAATTATGCTGGGGGTTGATTGCGACACTGGCTGTAAATCAAACATAGGTACGTATACCCAAAAGAGAACCCTGAAAATGTTAAACGGAAAGATGGACTAAAACCTGTGGTCCCCTGCTGATGCAATTGTTTAACCCATACCCACATGGCCATGGGTCAAACGCCAAATCTTACCCCCAGTGAACATCCCAATCCCCACTAAAAGAGGTTCTAAAATGGGTGGTGAATTCACCAATCCCAACCAAAATGGGATCCCAACACGGTTTCGACAACCACAGACACATACCAAAGTAAAAAGTAGCCCCAGCTTCGTCGCGCGGCTGAGCTTCGCGCCAGCGCGGTGCCTCTGCCGTGCCTCAGCCCGAGACCTGCCAGCGCCACACCGCCCGAGCTGGCCAAGGGAAGGGGACGGGTGGGGTGTGGGGAGGAAGATGGGGGGAGAACTTCCGAGGAAAATGGAGGAAAGTGGGAGGAAAAACATGAGTCACAATCAAAACCAGGTATTAAAATGGTCAATCCCAGAACCATGCTTCAAGAATTAAGAAGGCGGATATCCGCAGCTATTTCTGGCTGGGATTGTCCCTAACCTTCATCTACCCGGGTGTTGATTGTGGCTCACATGGAGGTTTGGCGAGGAAGATGGGGGGAGAAGATTGGGGGAAAAGATGGGCAAAGCAACTGCCAAGGGTTGAAAAGCGGAACCAAAAAAAGCAATTGGAAACAAAGGGAAGTCAACAAACATGTAATGGTCTGAAAGCAGAACCAAAAAAAGCAATTGGAAACAAAGGGAAGTCAACAAACATGTAATGGTCTAAAAGCAGAACCAACAAAAAGCAATTGGAAACAACGGGAAGCCAACAAACATGTTCTAGAGCTGGGGTTGGGTTGTTGTGTGCTAGCTCAGGGAAGCCATGACAATGCAAGATGACCTCCACGATTGATGAATACCTCATGGTTTATCACGATCAAAGCAACTGAACAACTATACAACTGTGTACACTATGCAGTCGTGTGAATGTATGCGTGCGTGGGGCTGGCTTGCGGATTTCCATCCCTGGAACGGCACAGCTTGGGCGGCACATGCCAACACACAAATCCCCATGCCCCTCCTGCACACGTGAAAGGCCAGCCTCAAGCCAGAGGCGGCCGTCAGAACTGGGGAACAAGCCTTGAGGGTCAGCTTCAATCCTTCGCAGAAACTACTACCCTCCTGCATGGAACCCACCTACAGGTTCCTTTGAAAGGAAAACCATCTTCCAGGACCCCTCAGTCACGTTCCATGTTACTGGACAGGAGGGTTTCATTTCTGGTGTCTTTGCGGCAGGTAGCCTTTGCCGGCTTCACGGGCCGAAGATACTCGGCACCCTGCCTCTTGAAGCATCGGAGATGTTTGGTCTGGCACCTCTCCATCTCACCGGCATTTGGATTGCTCGTTCCCAACCCTCAGACCCTCCGTGTCCGTGGGGCTTTCCTATGCAGCCAGCAAGGGGCAGCTTGAATTCGAAGATAGCTGGAAATCGGCTGCAACCTGGGTGCCACGCCGGGTGCGCACCATTGCATCAGCGCATAGCCGTGGCATAGCCAGACCCTTCCACTCCAAAATGCTCGGCTGGCTCTGTTTTTCCTGCCAGCGCTATGTGCCAAGTAAGCCATTGTTTTTGTTGTGGCTTGGTTGTGGTACTTTGACCGCCGCATATTCCTGCACGATCTCTTGCAAACCTGAATCGAATGGCATCCTGATTAAGACAAAGCGCTCTGTTTTTCTTCACAACCTTATGTTCCAACCCACAGTAGGCAATCCAGAGCCGAGATGCGCGTCGAAGATCTCATGCGAGCAAACAGTCCCTTTCCAAGTGTCGATCATGCTTCACAATGTGGTATGGAGACTCAGTTCCCAAAGGACCCAAAAACTAAAGGTTAACCTTTTGGGACCGTTTCCTAAAAATGGGCCAAACATGGGAAACCAAAAGGTCAAAAGGCCGATTCGCTTTGGGCAAGTGAGGAGATAGCCACATCTTCACGCTCATCCATGAGGCTTGCAGGCGTCCTGGGCGTTGTCGCTCAATGCCTAAGCGGTTTGAACACGTTCCGAGTGGGGCCAGGTACCACTAGCAATCGGCCACTGACATATGAGGCACTTGAAATCACCCATGAGAAATGGCACTCTTGACAGAGAAAACACAATGATCAAAGAAGCCTGCGGAGAGCAGCGTAATAATTCGGAATGAGCAACTTTGCTTTCCTCACCTAACTGAATGACACAGCCCGGGTGTGTTAATGTGTGGCAAAGAGTTGCAAATGATCCTTGGCACCTAGACAGAACGCGTTAATCAAGTATGGGGGGTTAAAGTGGTGGGAAAGGAGTCACCAAGGCTTGCTAAATCAAAGTTCAGGAAAATTTGGCAAATGGAGTGACAAGGTCGGCAGCTGGGCACCCATTCCCATGTGAAAGCCTCGGAGTTTTATTTTTGATGGAGATGACTGACACAACACCATGATGAAAATTCATGCTGCCAGCTACAACCATAGGTGTCCTTTTGAAAAAATGATGGCCTGGTACACGGCATAAAACCAATCTAAACCGGTGGGACCCATCTATTTCCAACCAAACGAACCTAAAAAGGTGTACACCTACGGCTACAACACGCACGAGCCACACCCATTTAAGCCACTTTGATGGGCAACGTCCAAAAATCCTGGAGGCCTGGCTGGTGGCTCCAAGAGCTCCCCGTCGAACTGGTCCAGGATGTGATCCTGGATTCCATCAAAACCGAGCAGTCAGTTGCGCAATGTCTTATCAGAACCACAGCTTTCAGCCCCGGGCAAGCAACTGACTGGCGCAATTCCTCCCAAGCAGAACCACAGCTTTCAAGATCGAAAAGAGTTCATGGACAATCTGGGCATTTGCCGTGGATTGACTGGATTGATTACCGATATTCCTGGGCAGTGGGCGAATCAGGTGCGTCAAAACACACCACATCCGGCAAGTCTTGCATGCAACCATCCTTGCCAGTGAGAACACTGGCGACACTCATGTCAATGGCATTCAACCTCTAGATATACGGGCATGGAAGACATCCAGGCTCGCTCAATTGAGTCAAGGCTTCTACACGCGCGTTGCTGTGTTTAAAGGAGACTTAGCTATATTAACTCAGAAGCAAGAAAGAGCTCGCAGGCAGCAGCCGTGCAGGGGCGGTGGGTTTCGCGCGCGTACATGAAACACTGTGGCCCGAACGCCTTGTTTCCCTGTGTTTGGGGGGGAATCGTTCAGCAAAGCCGTGGCCAATCCCCCCATGAAGGCATATGAGCTGCGAGGTCTGCTTGCGCAAGCCTGGGCGCAACCTTTGTTTGTCGGGGCCAGCAGTGCCAACGAAGTAGCGTATTCATAGATTCAACATAAACGCAAAACAAGCTGCTTGACGAGCACACGAAGAGTTGGTAGAACCACGTCCAAGGAGAACAAGAGCTCACAAGCTCTGAAAGTGTACTCGTGTGATAATCGATGCACAAGTTGGGCCGGCCACAGCTTCAAATCAAGATGGGACAGGAACAAAGACCTGCTCCTCTCGCACCTTATCTGCCACTTCTTCTCAATGGCACACGTCAGCTGCGACACTTTCCCTGACATGCCACAACGCGCTCAGCCAGCACAATCCCTGGCAGCATGGAAAGCTTCCACGTAAGGGCGGCGCTCAGCACACCCCGCTCGTCTGGAGCGGCGCTGATCACCTCGCCCTTTGGGATGAATCGAGGGCGGCCAATTGCCAGCAGCTAGTCTACCAACATCCACTGTATCTCACTCTTTGGTGGGTCAAACTGGTTGAGTACGCCACGGTAAGCAAGCGTTGACCACCGATCATCATCATCTTCCGGCTCCAATGCCGGCACTGCCGGCTGCTCCTGCCTTGCGTCATTCGCTTGCTCAAACACAGCCTGGCCAACGTCGTGACCATTTTCTGAAGGTGCATCTTGAGACTCGGAACCGTCGGCTGCCGCACCGAAACGCATGTCAGCTGCAACACAAACAATGTTGCCTTGCACATTCACGCCTTCCACATGGATGCCATATTGCAGAAATTGTTGAAGGCTGCCAGAGATCGTCGGCCGTTGCATCCCAGCTGGGAGAAGAACCTGCGTTGCTGCAATGACTAGCGCCGCCTTGAATGCCCGCTGGCGTTTCTCATTGGTTGATCCGATGCCGAGTCCCCGCAGCCCCCGCATTGGTCCACTTGTCACAGTAACGAGATCGAAGCAGTGTCGTTCAACATTCCGTCCCTGATCGGCTTCAGTTATGGCCCTGATCAACACAGCATCGAAATTCTTGGCTCTACTGCCAAGGCTGCCAGCTTGGACTTCACATCGGTCCTCCAGCTTCTTGAACTGGAGACCCAGTGCACGCTGAGCAGCGCGTGCGACGATCCGGAATGGCCCAAGCTTGGTGTCGTCACAAGCGACAGCCACCAGCTCGCCAACACCGTCAGGCAAAAGGAATGCCTTCAGGCCATGATCAGCCATGGCAGGTGAAAGCTAGGCAGTTGGTTGATTGCCCCCCTCTCCCTGTGCCACGTTTGCAAACTGCCCCAAATGCCCACATAATTAAAACGTGGACGCTGAACACTTCGATCGAGCCAAATGTGTTTCTTGAAGCATCCATCGAATGAGATGGAAGTATTGACAATCATTCAGCAAGAGATCTAGAATAGGGTACTCGCATGTGAGATACATCTTAACGTTGACCCCATTAATAGGGGGGGGCCTCCAATAGTGGTCTGATTCCCCCACAACTCTACCCAGCGAAAAGCAACCCCCCCTATAATTTTAAACTTCAAAATTAGTAGGAATACACACACACACATTTGTCCAAGAGGTATGGGAGCGCACCGAAAGGAATCCACTAGTGTCCACGCCTCAGTCATGGATTCTGCCTGCTTCAGCAAGCTATCAAGCAAGACCTGGCGGGTGACAGGCAATCTGCTGAAGACGCGGCCGCGCACACGCACACGCACATGCGCACGCACACGCACACGCACACGCACACGCGCACACACACACACACACATATGGAGGCCAACGCACAGACACAGAGGCGTGTAGAAATATATATATATATATATATATATATATATATATATATATATATATATAAATATGTATGTATGTCATGTTCATCGTTTCGTTCGTGGCGCTCTCTCACTTCTGTTTGCGCGGACGGGGTGGGAGGACTAGGGGCTCGGGTATTGGGAGCTGAGGGCTCTGGATGGTATTCCATAGGCCCACGGAGTGCCCTTCAGTTTCAGGCCATCGATCTTTGCCCGTGTAGTCAATCAAGTGCTTGCTCTCAGATAGATTCCTTCTTGCACTCAGTGGCAAAACAATGCGTCTTTCCTCCTGCAAGCAGTTCTCACACCAAGTCCCATCAACCCCCCCCCAACCACCCGGGGAACTCAGCCAGGAAGAGAGATCCAGGCTCCTCCCTTTCTCAAGGCGCTTCATGCTTGCCCTGTTTCTCAGGCTGCGGGAGTGGCTCGCACTTGGTGGTTTCCCTCCCTGTGCGGCACGGGTACAGTAGGTAGAAAAATATGTTGCAACGGCCATATAGAACACAAATTGTCCGCCGAAAAAAGAAAAAAACAATGGCCACGCACAACAATGGCAACGGTGGTCTTTTAGGCGAAGAACAACAAACAGAACATTGAGGTGCAACTGCCAAAGCAACTGGGCCAAATCTTTTCACCTCTCATATTTGGTGTCTGGATTGCTTCCAGAAACGTTGGGCTCAATTCTTCGTGAGGGAGGCAGCGCAGGACCGTCCTGAGTATTGGTGTCGCCAAAACAATCACCAACGGTTGCTCTACTCTTAGACTACACTCCCTCAGACTAACATGGACGCTCCCAGAAGGCCTCTGTAAATGGAACAAAGTCGTCCAAAGGGGTTGTGGGAGCTTCCATGTTAGTCTGGGGGAGGGTAATCTAACATCGTTAACACGTTCCTCGTTCTTGCTCAAACTGGGGTCCTTTTGAGGCAAGTTTGAAGGGATGCCAACAGGAAACCAACGCGTTTGGAGGAGGCACAAACTTATATTAAATATTGATTCGCCTTCCCCTCTCCCCGTGTCACATTCGGCCTCACAGGCAGAGCACGTGATGTCTTTCGCCATCTTCAAGGCTTCCATACGGTCCTGCAATTTGAGTGCTCCTCCTTTGGAATAACAATTGAAGGGACACGCGAGCAGCCAATATGTCCGAAACACACGTAGCGCGCGCCTCACTGCGCTGAAAACATATCCAGACACGGCTCCACATCCCTCGACTATCCGGATCAGCCTAGTTTTGTCAGCCTTTGCGATTTTCTGGCCATTTGGCTGTGGGTCAAAACCAATGGTACCATTTTGGGGTAGGTGCACCTTTAGTCTATTTTAGTGGGGATTGGGATGTTCACTGGGGGGTAACCGGGATTTTGACCCGTGGCCATTTCTGGCCATTCAAGATCACCCCGCTGAAGAAAAGCCCTGCTGTCCTCATCATCTGGAGGCTTCACGAACACATGTTTGTACCTGTATGGCTTTTGTGGTCACGAGACAGCCATTAGCCGCAACAAAGGCTGCTTCTTTCCCAAGCAAGCCTTGCATGATCTGAGATGTGAGCCTGAAGTATTCGCCTTCCTCAGCAAGCTCATGCTGTCAGAGTCCTCCCTCTGCCGAGCTCCGTGCAGATCCGGACACCAGATCTCCTGCTTGAACTCCCTCGGGGTACCTAACTGCCAAGCCACCAATCAGTTCGGCACCCATCCCAGGTTGAACTTCTGCTCAGAGCGATTCCGTCCGAACACCTTTTGGCGCTGTCCGTCTTGCGGCTGCAGCTTGTGCCATATGTTGCCCTGCAGCTTTGGCCAATGCGAGACGCGAAACATGATCAACAAAAACATTCCAGGGCCCTCGCTAACCCAAACACCATCTGAAATCCGCTTCGTCACTTCGCGTGCCAAGGCCACATCTGAAATGGGGTGAAACGCTTTGCCCATGCCTTGGGCATGAGAAGTTCGGCGAAAACTCTGATGGCGAAGGCTTGAGAACTCAGGCGGAAGATGCGCAGGACGATTCACTCCTCTCCTGGGCCAAAACTAGGTGAGGGCTTACCTCCGTGCACCACAGGGCACACCTTTCTCTCCCATGCCCTGTTGGTGATCTGCTGGAAAGAACTTGAAGAGAAACTAAACAGGCGTTTGAAGAGCTACAGGACATGTGGTGTATCTAGTTGATGTCAGAGTTATCATGATACACAGGATAGAGAGAACCCCCCTCGACCATGTATATCATTTATCGGAGGTTGTGGACTGGCGTGGCTCCGTTCAGGGTTGCGTGGTCTTTCGTGGCTGGTCTTTCATCTGCATCGTTCCGAGAGCCTGACCGAGTCTGCATCCCTCACGTTGTCTTCCTCCCATGCACTGTGTGTCACAGCCTGGGCAGAGACAAGTCTACCTTGAGCCAGGTTGCTCCTTTCAACATGAGCCGGAGGGGGCGGGGGGCGGGGGGCGGGGGGCTTGTTTGAACATATACCCGAATTTCGACTGACTCGGTGCCTGCGCGAAATCCCAAGCTTGGGCCGGCACCTGACAGCGTGCAACCACCTGGCGGCAATGGCTCAGCATCTCCACAGCCATCCCTCATATTCCAAGGCGGTCAAACAGCCAGAATGAACATACTTCAAGGTGCAATCCAAAACGCGCCGCTCTCACTGCAAAACAGTCAAACAAGCACTGCAAACATCATGAGTCTCCCCATGTTGCAGCAAGAAGGGGAGCACACCTCGAACAGCTGACTGGTTTTTGGGCTGTTCCTCCGCTTCCAAGCGCAGTAACCCGAATCTCCAGGCAGTTACTAAAATGGTTCACCCAGAACCATGTACGGAAATACGAAGGCGGCCGCAACTATTTATGGCTGGGATTGTCCCTTACTAACCTTCATCTACCCGGGTTTTGATTCTGGCTCAATTGTTGCTCTGCCTTGGAGATCCTGGCGTTGAGCTTTTCAAACTCCTCTGGTGAAGGCTGCGACCTCGGTGCCGTGAGAGCTACGGGTTTCCAAGAGGACCTTGCTGGTTTGGCTGTGGTTTTCCACCCGGCCGGACCCTGTGGGTGGGTGGGTGGGTGGGTTGGTGGGTTGGGCGAGCCTTGGATGGATGGGCACCAGCCAAGACTGTTCCCCTGAGTCACAATCAAAACCCGGTGTTAACATTTTCCCCTGGGACTGCCCCTTACTGACCTTAATCTACCCAGGTTTTGATTGTGGCTCGCCTAGCCTTCCTGGAAAGCTAGCCAGCGCCGAGACCCCTGCGACAAGCTCCACAGCTCCTGCCATGACTGGATGTTGTGGCCTGGCAGAAGAAGAGCAGTGCATGTCTGAGCACGGCGCGCATGGTACCTGTGGATGTGGCCTTTTTTTTAGGGCAGCCGGCCATAATAATAATAATACTAATAATAATAATAATAATAATAAGAATAATAATAATAATAAACGCTTGGCTTCATGTCCAAACTACGGGACTTGCTTGGAACACTTGCTATCCGACCCATGGAGGCCGGCGCTCTGCGTGCGCTGAGGTGGTGGCCCAAGTTCCAGGTAAGGAAGTCGAGGCCAGGGAACATGATCACCTGGGACCCAGCGCTTTTGGCCCATGCCAATGGGGAACTCAAAAAACAAACCCGGGGGAGTCAACGACATTTGGGGCTGGATCCGATATTCAGTGCCTGCAGCACAGGATCGTTACATGGACACGCACTGCCCACTAAAGGTTGCCAAATATATATATATATATATATAGAGATATATAGATATAGATATATATATATATATATATATATATCCTTGCATGCCTGGACCTGTGAGTCCCAACATCTCGTTTTCCCAGACTAGCGAGCTTGGAGGCGAGTTGTTCCCTTGATTATGAGCATGGTTCACTATGCCCGCCAAGTTAGACCGGCGGATTTTTTCCTTTGTGCCCTGGCTAGATGGCACCTACTATTGCCCTGCTTGGTACTGAAGCTTTGTTTCTCGCCGAACAGCACTTCCATAGCCCTCACCAAGCGGCAATTTGCTCTGCCAGCGGTGCGATCATGAACTCGATGAAGCCCACCTGCGCGTAGCTCGTAGGGCTGATTACTGGCTCGCCTCAATCCCGGCCAAACTGTCCATCAAGTAACGGGGCTGCTTTTGGAAGTTGCGGTCTGTGAAGTGAAACGCTGCTCACATGTGCATCATGTTCCCAGATTTTGACAAGGGTGCTTGGGCGCAGAAATTGGAAACATCCTCCTTGCGCCAGTCACGCGACACAGGTCCAAGCCCCGCTCCTGCGAAGTGTAGCGGTTCACCTTGTCCCGGTCGTTGAGCATTTGCACGGGGATTCCCAGCTCCTACCAAAAGTGTCGGTCAAAGATCAGGGTACCTCTCAAAACTAGAACCTGCAAACGGAGGGTAAATCATTTCTGGTGACGGACATGGCTGTGCCTCAAACATGAAATGCCCACAACACTGCGAGAGGACCCCACCTTCTCTTTGTCCCCCTGAGCAAAGAACTCTTCCAAGCAACGACCAGCCAGATCTTGGCAAATGCCCTTAGCGGTTGCAACAAAAGTTGCACGCTGACAGTGCACAAGGGTCAGCTGAATTGTGGACCTTCCATTGAGCTGTGAATTGCCCAAGTCCAGCATGGCTCCAATGCTGTGGTCTCGGCCCAAGGTTTCATCGGATTCGAAATGTCCGCCGTGTGAAGCCTCAGTGTGTGATGACCCATGGCTGTCTCGTGGGTCTGAAGGGCAACAGCATTGTTTATGAGCAGTAGGATGTGGGTGTGGGTCAAAAATAGGTACCCAAAATGTAACCCTGGTAAATTGGAAACAAGGACTCAAACCTGCGGTCCCCTGGTGGTATAATTTTGACCCGTACCCACGTGCCAAAGCCAGGCTGCCCTGTCTTCAACCCCACGAAAAGGAGGGTAGGCATTAGCCTCTCAGCCTTCTCAGCCTCTCAGGCTCCGGCAGCGAGGTCAGCACCTACCAATCCAAACGGAAATCGAACGCTAAGAGGAAATCGTGCATTGTGATGGTGAGAAGCATTGTTTCGGGTTGGTTTAGCGTACGCTTAGGGTCGCTTTGTGGTGGGTTTAGGGTGGGTGTAGGATGCTGTCGAGGGTGGGTTTAAGGTTAGTTCAGGATTGGGTTTGGGTGGGTTTAGGGTTGGTTTCATTGGTGTAGGGTGGGTTTAAGGTTAGTTGAGGATTCTTGGATGGGCTAGGGTGCAAAAGCCGCCCCCAAACTCCACGAAACCGCGCAAAAACCAAAAAGCCAGCCCTGCAAAGCAAGCAGAAACTAGGTCACAGCAAAAACAAGCCCAGGTGATGCATCCAACAGAACCACACCTGTATGGGTTCTACAAATGCGGAAGGTACACAAGCACACCCCTCTCCTGGAACCGTCCCGTGCTTCCCCGGAACCCTCCCGGAATCCTCCCGGAACCCTCGCGGAACCCTCGCGGAACCTTACCCACCCCGGAGCCTATCTGGGCTGAGGCCATCAGGTGAGAACCATCGCACAGCCAAAAATGCAAAAAGCCGGTGGGGGTTGGGGTGACGCAGCCCCCTCTCGTCCTTCTTTCCGTCATTCCTTCCTTGCTTCCTTGCTTCCTTCCCTTCCCTTCCCTTCCCTTCCCGTCCTTCCTTCCTTTCTAGCTCAGCAAACAACCAATGCGGGTCACAGCGTACCACGGACAGCATACACAGGACTGCAGGACGGCCAGGGCAAAAGGAGCATGGGACGTTCTTCCAAATGCGGCACAAAGGTCTCAGCGTGCCACTGCTCGCGCTGTGGCAAAAGTACTGCCCGCGCAGGAGGTAGAGCTTAAGGGTCAGCCAGGAAGGTCGTTTGCTCGTTGACGGAGCGCAGACGCCAAAGCAAGCTGCTTGCCGGAGGTGCTCAGCCGTCTCGGCCGCAGCAGCAGTGCACGACTCGTAGTCCGCTGGCCGGGCAGGGTCTGCAACCACCGCCAAGATTGCCTGAGCCCTCTTCTTCTTTCCTTCCCTTCCCTGCTCTTCCCTCAGCTTCTAAGGACTGGCAATCAGTTCTTCAAGATGTCTAGTATGTCTTGGAAGCAAAACGAGGTATTGAATAACAAGTTATTGTTGAAGCCTGATAAGTCTGGGCTTGATGTACGTCCCACCCTCCAACTAGCTGAATCGGTTTTAAAATTGACTCAAACTTGTCTTGCTTCAGGAAGCTGCCCCAAAGATCCAGCCGTGCTTTCTCCGCAACGTCGACAACTCATCCTTGAACATGAATAAGGGTGTCTTCCCCCAAAAGCGAATGATCCACTGGTACTGTTAAATGGGCCACACTGTCGATGAACCAGACAGAGGTTTGGGTGTGGCTCAAAATTAAAGAGCCAGGGTTACACAGTTTTTGTCTTTGGCTCCATTTACCAAGGTGCCATTTTGGGTTCCATTTTTGCGAGCCGCACCCGTTCATTGCGTCGGGTCCCGCCCTTCCGCCTTGAGGCGAGTCTTCGCATCCTCCTGCAGGCCAGTGGAGAGCCTCGGGCAGCGGCTGCAACCTTCATTCCGATGAGTCACGTGCGGGCTCCTGCAAAAAGCAGCACTGCCGTGTTTGCGCGTTTCCTATTTGGACGCTCCGGGCAGAACCCTTCAGCCCCCTGCAAAAAAACCAAAAGTTGCTTTTCGCACTCCCCGTGTTTGAGCACACAAGT